TTGGGGAACCCTCTCAAGTTTGGGGGGGTTCAGGCAGAAATTTGGGGGTGGGGGGTGTCCAGGGGATTTTGGGGACTCCTCCCAAAAAGTTTTGGGGTCCCCCAAAGATTTGGGGAGGGGGTCCGGGGGGGGCTCCGGCTTCAGGCTGCTGGAAAAAGGGGAAGGGGTGAGGGGGAGGTCCCAGGGAACCCCCCCAAAATCCAGGGGGGACCTCCCCAAATTTTTTGGGGGGGGTTTTTGGGGACCCCCACCCCCCCCTCCCCCAAACCGTACCCTGGTCGAAGTTCAGCTTCTTGGGGGGGGGGTCCCCAAATCCTTCGACGTCCACGAGGTCCCCGGGGGGGTCGGAGTCACCCGAGGGGGGCTCTGGGGGGGACCCCAAAATTAATGGGGGGGGGGAATTTGGGACCTCGAAATTAACGGGGGAGATCCCAAAAATTAATAGGGAGGCCCTAAAATTAATGGGGGGACCCCAAAATTAATGATGGGGGGAATTGGGACCCTGAAATTAATGAGGGGGCTCCAAAATTAATGGGGGATGGGGGCAAAGGGACCCCAAAATTAAAGGTGGGGGGAAGCAGAGAAATCCCAAAATTAAATGGGCGGGGAGCAGGGGAACCCCAAAATTTAACAGAGGTGCAGAAAGAGCCCAAAATGAATGGGGGGGGGGGGTCCCCAAAATTAAAGATGGGGGAAACCAAAAAAAACCCAAAATTAAACGGGGGACCCCCAAAATTAAAGAGACTCCAAAATTAACAAAAGGAGGGAAAAAGAAAAACCCCAAAATTCAAGTTGGGGTCCCCAAAATTAAGGGGAAGGGATCAAAAAAACCCCAAAATTAAATGAGATCCCCAAAATTAAAGGGGGGAAACCACAAAAAACAACAAAATTAAAGGGGAGGGGTCCCCAAAATTCGTTACCTGCCACCTTCAGCTTCTTCCCGGGGGGTCCGGGGGTGTCGTGGGGGGCTCCCCCAGACCCGGGGGGGTTTTTTCGGGGTCCCTTTTTGGGGGAGTCGGCGCCGGGGGGGGGCAGGGGGACCCCGCTGTCCTCGTACGCTTTGCGCTTGGCCGCCGCCTTCAGCTGCGCCCTGCGGGCATTTTGGGGGGGTTTGAGGTTTT